ACTGCTTTTTATTGCCTTAATTTTGTCTGGTCTCTGCTTTTAAGTAGCCTAAAAACGCATCACCACTTCCTGCCATGCAGGATGACCCTCCATGGGGCTGCTCTCTCCAAGCAGGATAAGTGTGTCCCTGTCCCAGCTCAGGGCTGGGTGAGGAGCTGGGGAAGGTGAGCAGGAAGCTGGCTCTGTGCTGCTCTGCTCCCTGTTCCACACCCACGCTCCTGCTGCTGGATCCCAATCTCAGGTGTGGCTCACTGCGGGGTCAGGCACTGCCACCCCTGTCCCAAACAGAGGTTTCATCATTTCACCTGGGATAGGCAGCAAGTGCAGCTCAGGAAGGTAAAGCAGGACTCGGGCAGTGTCTGTGGCCATTACATGTACAGACTCTGCAGGGCCACTCCACCCTCTCATTTTTAATTTCAAGCACCTCTGCTGTAATTCTCATGCCATGGCTGATAGTTCTTGCTTCCCTAATTACTCCCTCAAGCTGAGATGAAGGTGTTCAGATAAGAACAAATAATATAAGCATGACAAGGATGGATGAGGAGGAACCTATTTTATCTCATTTCTAGCTGTGCAGCTTCAATGAGCTGGAGGCAGAATTTTCTCTTGTAGAACTTGGAGTTTCCATAATAGATGAGAGTTGAGGCCCAGTGAGTCTAAAACCATCTGTGTAAGACCAAAGAGGGGAATTTATTGGCACTACCTGGATCTGACTAAAGCTGCTCAAAAGCTGGGTTAACATTTCCATGAAAAGCCCAAAAACTTCAGGTGTCCATACATCTGGGAATGCCACTTCTCTTCCCACCTCCTCACTCCCTCCTTATTTCAATTTTAGGTATTGAAAAAAATGAATTAAAACCCCTTTCCCTGTGGAATGAACCTGAGAAGCTCAATCTCATTATCAGTCTCCAAACTTAGATACCCCAGCTTCACGTCAGCTTGGCACAGCTCTGCAGCAGTTTGCCAGGGCTCCTGTCCAAAGCACCTTCAGATCCAAGAGCCACAGCCCCAGCCCAAGGCATCTGGGTGATGAGGCCACTCTGGATTAAAGGATCTCCCATTCCAAGTCCACCCACGGTCTATCAGGAAGCTGGCACAAAATTATGTGTTATGATGACAAAGCCTTTTTCTAAAAGGAAGAAATATCTCTAATTATTTGAAGAGTGGGTGCAAGCCCAGTACCCTGCAGCATTCCTAGTGCTCTGCTGGATAATCTATATCCATAAAAAGTAATTTATTTACTGCACCAGAAAGCAGCCCCTAGCACCACACAGAGTTATTCCTGTGGAAACTCCAGACAAATACCAGCAGCCCCAGCAGCCCAGACAAGTTCTGTGTATGAGGGATTTATTCTCCAAGGCCTTTGTGTGATTATGGATATTGCAGAGAAGAGAGAGAAATGTCCTGTACCTTGTAAGACTTCCTCTGGGCCATCCAAAAGCCACCCATTGCCTCCCAGCCAGCGGGGTTTGGGCTGAACCAGCCAGTCCAAGACTGCAGAAGACAGAAACAAGAGACCACAGTGTCAAGATGCAGCAGCCACAGGGCACAAGGTTATGGAAAAGTTATGGATTTCCTCTAAGGGCCAGTGAGGGGGGTGCCTGATGGGTTGATCTGATTTTGACTTTCTATTTGTGCTCTTGTTGTCCCAGTGGAGAAGGAGACATGGATGTTACCCAGGGCCACAAGAACCTGGTGTCCTAGAGGCAGCTGCTGCTTCCCATTGCCATTCCCATGGCAGGGAATGGTGAGGTGGCTGCCTCACTTCTGTCAGCACTAATTCAGGCTGGGATTGCCTCTTTTCCTGAGTATAGAAACACAGGAACACAGAATGGTTTGGGTGGGAAAGGACCTCAGAGATCATCTCTCTCCAATCCCCTGCCATGTCCACAGGGACACCTTTCACTATCCCAGCTTGCTCCGAGGCTCATCCAGCCTGTCCTTGGACACTTCCAGGGATGGGACATGGAAAATGCCATCCCAGGAAAAGAACTGGCCTTGAGTAACTTCTGCAATTCGACCAAGTGGAAATTTTGCAGCACCAGTTTGCTTTGGACACCTTTTTCACTCATCAATCCCCCCAAAACCTGAAGTGTGGAACTGAACTCCACCCCACACCCAGTGCATGTGAAGATCACCACCACCACCACCCCCATGCCTGCAAGCTCCTCTCCCTCCCAGTTTGCCCAGGGGTCCCTGTGGTGGCTAAACAGGATGTTTAAAAGCCTCACAGACTGAATTCTAACTGGATTCAACTGCACCCGTGAGAAACCTGTCAATCTCTCCTGAGAATGGAATCTTGTAATGGTAAAAAACAGCTTGTGTCCCTGAGAAAGGATTCTGAGACTGTTTCTGATGCCTTGGGTTTTAGCTTTTATATTTTTCAGACTCTCTGCTGCTTTGTGTGTAACTCTGAAACTTCATGTTGGGTGCTAGTAAGTTCTCTTCACAGGGGAGTTGGATAAAACAATTCCTTCCCAGCTGGAGAATCAAGGACACCCATTACCCAAAAAGCAGAAATAACGAAGGGGGCAAACCAGGGGGCTGAGACTTTATAACCTGGATCATTTTATACACTGGACAACTTTATAAATTGGACAATTGACCCCGATATGTAGATGAACCAAAAATTATAAAAGTGTAAAGACTCATGACCAGGATTCATCCTGGATTTATTTGGGTGTAGCCCTGGCCAGGCTCTTGCACTGCCCAAGGTGAATCCTTTCAATAAATACCTATTTTATCCCTTTTGCTCTGCCTAGTCTCTGTTCCAGGTCAGCCTTTAAGGCATCAGTTCCTTGCACTTACATAAACTATTCCAAATCATCAAAAAGAAGACTACAAACAATATCTAAAAACAGACACTTGCCAGCATGGAAGCACCTCAGCTGAACTGACCAATCCTTATGGGATAACACCTAGTCACTGAGCAATTAGAAGTAAACACTGTAGGAAATAGAAAAGGTGTAAAACTCTCAGAAAGCTGTGTGAAAGCAAATCTCAGGATGGAGAAATGCAAGAATGCTGAAGATGCAAGGACAAGAAACAACAGGGCTGTGAGCTGTGTAAAGATAGGCCTCAGGAAAATATGTTAAGCAAGATAGTAGAAATATGTAAGCCTAATAATGAAGCTTTATCCATTGTTTTAAGCTATTACAAGCAAGCATTGTTCAAAGCAAGATGTACCTGTAGCTTTATTAATTGGCCTAAGCAAATTCTTGTCAGCTTTTAATATGATGCTATTGTCTAGAAAGTTCTTAAAAGACTTTGTCACAAACAGAACTTGGTCTGCTGTTGCTAGCAGCTGAAGCTGTTTCCATCTCCTTGGCTCTGTAAAATGAAACTGACTGTGATGGAATCTCTAGGGAGCTGGTGTTGTTTATCCTGGAGAAAAGGAGACTCAGGGGTGGCCTTATCACTCTCTACAACTCCATGAAAGGTGGCTGTAGTCAGGTGGGGTTG